CCATGTTTTCTAAGGGGGTGGGTGGGGTGTCTAAAGTCAGTTTTATTTGCTTCAATTTATAGTCCTATTGAAATAACTCTACAATCAAATTGCCAGGGGGTGGGGCAATCTCCCTACACACTCTCTGTCCCTGAAATGACAACTGATCTTAATTGTGACTCCCAAATAGTAAAATATTTTTTTCATTTGACTACATTTTTTGTTTCTTGTTTCTTATTATTATGTCTGTCTGTTTGCTTGTCTGCAGAAACTTTGACCTTGTCCATAAGTTTTAAGTGGGTTGAGTTATAATGATATATACAATGATTTCCACATTTCAAAGGTAAATTCCTTGTGACAAGACGTTTTATTTGGGTACTACCAACTTTGACTTTTTGAACTCTTGACCTTGGAGTTTGACCCAAATTTTACAAGAAAAATACAAAATTTTAAACTTGGCCAAAGTTTTAACAATTGGTGCTAGGGTTTTTATGCTTAACATGCATGTGTATTCATTGTGAACTTTCAACAGGTATAAATATTTTTGACCTTGACACTAGAGTTTGGCCCACTTAAATCAAACTTTAACCTTGGCAATGACTTTTGAATAGGAAGTACTAGGGATTTCTCATTTCACATGTGTATTCCTTATGACAATTAAGACTTTCCTTTTGATACCAACAATTTTAAACCATTGACTGTGGAGTTTGACTTACATTTGATAAACTGGCATCAGTGTTTCACAAACACATCTTGTCTTAATTATTTTTAAGTGGCTGTGTCTCCATATGAGTGAAAAAACAAACAAAGAAAAGTATACATGTACATGTTTTTTATTCAACATATATACATCTGGTCATATCTCTTGTTATCCCTTGAATCAGAAATGATGATGTAACTATTCTAAAAATTGTTATCATAAGAGTTGAAAAGTTTGCATGTGCATCTTAAAATTGACAAAGTTCTGTGTTTGAATTAGCTATAGCAGTTTAACTTTACTTTGCTACTCTGACAAAGCACCTCAATTAAATATTTTCAATCATACTGGTTTCTGAAATGTATTTTTTTCAACAATAAAGACATGTCATACATGCCCAATCTGGCTCATACTTCACCCACAGAGTGCCCTTGGATATTTGATGTGTAGTGATCTTGAACAATGTTCCTAGGTCAAAGGTCAAGGTCATTGCAAAATTATATGAAAAATCCTTGTCTGGAGCATATCTTCTCTCCCTTGGCCCAATCTGGCTCATACTTTACCCACAGAGTGCCTTTGGGTAAATAGTCTCGTTTTCCCCAGACTCTCGCTCTCGAGACTTTGCCCAAGCGAGAGTCTGGTCTGATTCCTATTTAATTTTTGTAACCAGTAGAGGTCGCTAAACCGGCAAACAAGATGGCGACTCCCATGAAAATACATGTGAGAATTTACTTTTTAAACAAAGATATGTGTCTTTTTTTAGTTCCTTGTAAAGCAGACAGAGATATTTTATTATAAAACCAGATAAAAGTAAAGGCGCAGCCTCTGACTTTTTAAGGAATACAGATCTTAGCATCAAAGAGAATATATTTATCAGCCAATGAAAATCCATACCGATTTCTCGGTAAGCCTCGATTTGAAATTACAAAAATTAAATAGGAATCAGACCAGACTCTCGCTCGGAAGTCTCGAGAGCGAGAGTCTGGGGTAAACGAGACTATTGGCTAAAGGATGTGCAGTGACCTTGATTAATATTTCTAGGTCAAAGGTTAAAGTTATAGTAGAACTATCCATGAAAAATCTTTGTTTGTAGCATATCTCTGCCCTTTGTCCAACAAGGTTCCTACCAATTTCACAGAGTGCCTTTGGATGAAGGGTGTGCAATGATGTTGAACCTTGTTAAAGATTTAAGGATAAGGTCATATCAGAATCATATCATTATTATAAATATGAAAAGTCCTTGTCCTGAGCATATCTTCTCTCCCTTTTGTCCAGTGTGGCTCATACTTTGGGTGAAGAGTTTGCAGTGACCTTGAACCATGTTAAAGGTCTAAGGATAAGGTCATAGCAGAATCATTATTATTAAATGAAAAGTCCTTGTCCAGAACATATCCATTATTAAAAATAAATCTTTTAATTAATATTAAATGCCTTACTTTCATTTTTAAGAATCCATGTTATATTTTTACATGTAGGTGTCTTTAATATGAGCTAGCTTATGTAAATCTTGTGTATCGAATCAATTGAGATATGTTAACTCCATATGCAGATGATGAAGGTATATTGCTGCATAAGTAAGGGAAGTTGACTATAGAAAAGTTAAAGTCATCACATTTATCATAAAGCTTGGTCGTTGGGTTACCGTTAAAAATTACTTATTTTTCAAGTAAAATATGCAAATATGAAACAAATGCATCAGACTCTGTAGTATCTTTTCTAATTAAGGTCATGTCAGAGGTCAAATTTGAAACAACTCTAGACTTATATACAATAATTTTGCAGGCAATGATTTGATTGGTTGATAGAATTTGACCTCTGACATGCCCCTCTATGGGATGTTTTTAGATGTTAGTGTAGTGTAGCGAGTATGCGAGTGGATCTAACATCTAATTTTAATTTGATTGGAATGGTAATTACCAATGTTAATTGACAATACATCATCAATATTTCTAAATATCAAGTTGAAGGCCACAGCAAGTGTTTTTCCTTTCAGCATAATATTTTGCAAAAACTCTGCTTCATGTGAATACAAAAATACGTCTGCTAAAAAGAGGGCACAATTCGTACCCATGGGAGTTCAAAAATATTGTTGGAAGACCAGGTCTCCAAAAACAACATAGATCATATTGTCAATTTAAAACTCAAGCATCTTTTTTATGTCGACTTTAGAGTACTTGTGTGCACAATCAGAATGTTTTTATAAAAATAATTTTGCAAATGCCAAGGTAAGTATACAAATTCCATTTTTATTGAAAAAGCATCTGTCAATGATATATCAAAAAGACCAGGCTATAGGATTTGATGTCTTTGACATTCTAGAAAATTCAAAAGATCGAGGACTGACGAAAACATGATTTTTAATCAATTACATGTAATTACTATTATGACTTTGTGAGTCAATCTAAATATATATATTGTTTTTGACATCATTTAAGACTTATTGTGATACTTAAGGTAGGTCCGTACTTTAAGAATTTTCTGTCAAACTGATAATTTTTCAATTTGAATACCTTGAATAAGTCTTAAACTAACTAAAACACCCATAAAAGGCATATCTTTGCAGGTTAATTTTCATACAACAGGTCTCAGAGCACATACCTCTAAAAACTCAACAGCCAAAATTGAACATAAAAAAGTGTGATATCATATTTCTCTTAGTTATGCAGCAAATCACATCAAATTTATGTTAAAACTTATGAAGATCAAAAATATTCATTTGCCAAACATTAACAAATTGATGTTGAGTCTGTCCATGTCTTTCAGGAAAAAATCTCAAAATATCTTTATTTTTTATAATTCTCAAAATTCAAACTGTTTAGATGCCATTTTTTCTTTAAAATTATTAAGAATTATATCTAATGTTAACAAAAACACATACTTTATTATGGTTGACCAGAGAATTTTTAACAAAACAGTCTTTTGAAGACGTATACCCCCATTTTTGGAATATCAAATTTTTCAATTATTCATTGCAAAATTTTTAAAAAGTAAAAATTAAATGGATGGTATAGGCTCTAAATCAATAATATAGATCTCAGGTTAGTTTGCTTAAAAGAAAATTAAAAAGATTTAGGTCCATAAAAGCAAGTAAGAATTTTGTGTCTGTGTATTAATTACTAAATGACATATAGATCTTATGGACAGAGTGCAAAGTGTTAATTTCCATAAATAATGTATATTAAATGCTTTGTATGCACAATAACACTATAATAAACAAATATATACTTGTTAAATCATTTTCAATCACCCAAAAAGATTTTATATCAACAGACAAGTGAGAATCAGAATTTTATATTGATGTGTAAAATTAGAAGCGGATCCGTAAAAGTGTGGGCCTTCCTTAAGGAGTAAGTAATGAAATCTAGCGTGTCTAGTGTACGCATTTTGTAGTTTATTTGCAAAATTAAGTGTTTTTGTTTTCTTTCCTTTCCCCCTTAATTCTTTAAGATAATGAGCAATCAAATGGTTAATTTTCATATGGTAAAGAGAGTAATTCTGTTATTGAGATTTAGATTTGTTAATATCGGAAGTCTTAAAAGGCAGCTGAAGATTTCTTTGTGAAAATCACAGTAATGAATAAAGATAATTAAGATAAGAAAAAAAATGTGCCAAAACACTTTTATACAGAAGTGAATAAAAAAAAGTAATGTTTGATACTGTTTTCTTGTATCAATGATTCATCTGCTATGTTCAAAACATGTTCTAGTCTGGACTCTTCAGCTTTTCAAAGATTTTATGTCAAACCAAGTATAACGAAAAACACTGACAGTAAGCAAAACATTGTTTTTGTTCATGTTCTTTGTTTATATAATTTACCACAGACAAATATGTGTAATGTCTACTTCAATGACCCTTATAACATAATTATATATGCTTTCATCTTTGTTCATGTTGCTGGTGACTTGACTTTTATTATAAAAATGAATCTTTCTTGTGCAACTAAAATATATATTTGTATTAGAAGCATGAAAACCATTTCTTTATAATACATCCCAATTGTGATAATACAGGTATCATTTAAAACTCAAATTAAATGATCAATGTACAAAATAAGTAATTTTTTAGCAAGATTTTGTTTGATTAACCTCCTCCGTAATCTTTTCATGTATGAAACAACAAATTGCAGTTCAGGAATGATATTGAAAAAAATCTCATCAGACAATTTTCTCCCCTCAAGACAATTTTATACGTTTTAAATGATTAATTTAAAAAATTGTTTTGATCTGAATTATTGTTTTGAAAATTGTATTAAACATCGATGCTTTGTAAAACTGTCAAATTTATTGAAAATACAGAAATCATGAAATTCCCGATTAGCTGTTATTTACTTCGTTTTGAAATGCACTGTTACAGCGTCATGATAGCTGTAATACACTGGCATGATTTCTATATGAACTTCCATTTCTTTTGTAATATATACATGATCCAGTATAGTATCACCATCTGTTGTAGCAAGGTTTACTTTCTGCTTGAAACCGTTAGTCTCCAACATCTTTTGAATCGGTCCTTCCAATGTAGCGTCTTCATTGAAGTCTCCAAGTATTAGGCATTTAGAATATTGTACTTTAAAGAAATCAATAACCCTCTGAAAGTGTTGTAGAAAACATCTGACATTGAGTACACTTGGTCGATATACAACGATGATAATAGTATTTTCTTCGCAAAGTTCCACGGCCATTCCCTCAATATTATTTTTGGACAAAACATGAACTAAAGCCTTTTCCTCTCTTTTCTTGTAAATACCAACACCCCCACCTTTTGCTGTGCGAAGTTTATCCAAACATTCCACACTTTCATCATAAGACTGCTCCCTTGTAGTGTGATTGAATTCGAAGTCTTTGATTTCAAAGGCTTTAGTACAGTCATTGTCTGTCAACCATGTTTCTGTTACACATAAAAAGTTTGCATGAAGAAATCTGGTATCACTTTTTAGGTCTTGAACATGTCCTCTTAAACTCTGCACATTAAGTAAGACAATAGTTTTGAATTTTTCAGTTTCTGTGGAGATATTTGGGAAATCGTGTTCGGTGATTAATTTTTCCATCTTACTCAGTGCTGATTTCACATCTGGATTGGCGTAAATTTTTTTCTCCAGTGCATTTTCATCTCCTGTTTCTATAAATAAACCATTCTGGGAAGTGACACGACTAATAGCAACATATGCCTGTCCTGCAGCGAAAGTACGATCTAAATTTACTACAACACTGTTTGTTGTCATTCCTTGAACTTTATGCGCTGTGCATGCCCATGCGAGTTTCAAAGGAAATTGATGTCTAACAACACTCTTTGTATTTTTCTCTTTGATATCTTCTTGTATTCTTTGAATAAGGACTTCATTTCCATGTGTTCCTTTTCCCTGCAGTCTCCCAATGTCTTTACAATCAAACATTACTTTAATGCTATCTACCCTATTTCTTTGCTCAGCTTTTCCAAAATCGATAGCTGAAATATGCCCCATTGCACCATTTACAAGGCCATCTTCAACGTTAATATTTCTCGTCAACATCACTCTAGCATTCACAGACAACAGCAAAGTAGCTGATAGTCCATCTGTTCTTGTTCTAATGAATGGTTTCTCGCATAAGGTAAGCTTTCCTGTAGTTTTGTCTTTCTGATAATCTTCTGCAGTAATCTCCATCAGTTCTTCACAGTTAGTATGCAACATCTTCAGATTATACTCATTGGCTTCATTATTTGTAGGATACACATGCAAAACGTCATCTGGTCCATCTCTAATACATTCTTTCAACATTGTTTTTGCCTCTTCTGATAGAGGTTCTGTGATCGTTCTAATTCGTAGTGAATTTAAAACTGATGCAAATGCAGCATCGTCTCGTTGTCTCATTATTTCGTCCAACTCGATGATTTTGAAAAAGTCTAACCAGTAGTCTACTGGATATTCCCCATTTTCTTTGTACAATATTTCTAGTTTTCGTTGTTTCACTGGTGGTAGTTGAAAGAAATCTCCAACAGCTATAACCGAAATACCACCAAATGGTTCTTTGCATTTTCTGATTTGGACCAAGCGTTCGTGTATATAATATAGAAGTCGTTTAAAAACCATGGAAACTTCATCAATAATAAGAATCTGCAATGATCCTAATCTTGTTCTCATTGCACTCAAACTTTGTTCTTTCAGAGGTTCATATGGAATGGGAAGAGCTTTCGTTAAGGAAAATACGTGATGAATTGTGCTTCCCCCAATATTAAAAGCCGCTGTTCCAGTAAAAGCTGTTAGAAGAACTGACAAATCTGTAGGAGACAAAACTGTTTTCTCAAAAATTCGAGAGGCTTCATACTGTATGGTCTTGATTAAGTGGCTTTTACCTGTTCCTGCACCTCCAGTAATGAAAATATGTAATGGTTCTATTTTCTTCCCACCTACTTTTTTCAAACACCACTCACGAACTAAATAGAAAACTTGTTTTTGTTTTTCATTCAAACTTCTCAATAAAGGAAGCATTTCTTGTCTTGAGCTAGAATACTCTCTTATATGGTATATAAATTCTGAGGAGCCGTCATTTTCGATTTCATTAGTTATCTCTGGTTCTTTGTTTTCAGACTGCTCAATTCTCCTCTTTTCGTTAAGACATTCTTCCCGATTTCTTTCAGTCTCCGAACAAAGATTGGCCCAAGCATCCTCAGGTTCACCACAAAGTTCTAAAATTTCTTGAGCATTTTCAAGGGCATCCTCATTCTTTGAGAAACTACTGCGGTTATTTTCCACCACATTCCGCACTGATTGCAATTTGTTTTCAGCATTCAATTTGACAAATCCGTTTTCAAAAAACGTCTGGTAAAACTCAAATCCAGGTGGTTTTAGTTGATCTTGGGTCAAATATGGAAGGAAAAGCTGAAGTATTGATTGATAATATTTTTCTGATGCATTTTCAGGGTTGAACCTTGGATATCTTATAACAGCTGGTTTACCTCTAGTTCTTTTCTGCACGTAACCATTTCCATTTTTCAATTCATACACTCCTTCTTTTTCTCCCTGAGGAATCTGAGACTTCGCCAAAACACGGAATTCAGAGCAAAATTCTGCAAGGCACATTTCGGGAAAAGGGTGTACATCAGGTCGACTTTCATACCTTTCCACTATATTTGTCATCCAAATGCTGTCATCATCTTCTTCCATTTCATTTTCATTCTTTGACGTTTTTCTCATTTGTGCAAGAGGTTTACTCAAACGAGTCGGATTTTCACCCACAGGAACAAAAACTACTTTTCTTGAACTTTCTTTCATTTTTAGATTGCAAACTCTGTATACCGATTCCTGGGCACTGACCTCTCTATGGTTGAGATAAGCTGATCCAATCTTCCTTATCGTTTGTCGAGCATTCAAATTTCCCTCTGCGGATTCTACTTGAGTTTGTTTCAACAACATTCCCATTTCCCGTTCCGATTTTGAAATGTACGAAATAATGTACACAATGCAGCTAAATGGGTCAAGGATGTACTGTATATCCATATTAGCATCCCAGCATTTGAGAAGACATGTGTTGTATTGATTTGTCCACATTTCATCTGGATTTCGTTTTAAGATAGTACTTGTTTTTGTAGATAATGCCCTATGTGCCATTTCATAAACATCTTGTGATAATTGCAAATTTCTGAAAATTTCCTCAGTTGTTTTGCATCCATTCACATCATCAAGAACTTCATTCCAAACACGCAATAAAATATCTTTTGCCTGAGATTTACATAATTTTCCGTCACTCTCAGAGTCCTCAACATCTTCCTCACACTGCTTTGTTATGAAAGTTCTTTCTGATGGTGGTCTTGGAAAGTGGAACCTACATTCTGTTCCCTTTTTCCTACATGATTTTGAGTGATTCTTGCTATGTTGCTGAACACCTAAAACAATTCCCCGCAATTCTGCGTCATCATTTTCTGAGGGTAGAGCACATGTGATATATCTATCAATGAAATCACAAACAGTTTCTTCCTCATCTTCACCAAATTTTGGTGCATTTTCAACCCAGTACAAACAGTGCATGTGCGGGGAGCCTCTTTGTTGAAATTCTACTCTCACAAAAAAGTCAATAACATTCCCTATTGGTTTTGATGGTGACAATATGACATGCCTTTGAAACATATGAAATCTATGTTCAAACATTCTAGCCACAGTAACTGGATTGCTTCTTAAAACTTCACTTTTTTCTGACCAGTCCAATTCAGATGGGGATCTAGGATCATTCTCATGATGCAATATTGATCCAATAATTTCATCCCACCGAAACTCTGCAGCAGAAAATGAACAAAACCATGTTGGGATGCCTAACTGTCGAAGCATAGCAAAAAGATCTTTCTGGGTTGCTGACCAATATGCTGGAGTCCCACGAATAGGTTGCATAAAGCGTAAAGCCTCGTCATTTCTTAGGAGTTTTGAAAGAACATCTGGATTTTGCAGCATTTCAGATGTAACTGTTTTCCCATTATCAAGCTTTGATAGAGACTTCCGTATTGAAATTTGTGTTTTTTCAATTACTTGGTTCAATTCTGACATGTACTGAGAGAAGAATATGTAATTTGTGTCTTTTGCAAATCTGTTATCAGAATTCATCAGTCTGTTGTTTAAATACCTTGAAAGTGTTATCTTCACATCTCGGTCTTCATTCCAAGAAAAGTTGCCACTTGGAAATAAATGTGGAAAGGTCTTTGCTTCGTTTCCTTCTTCCTGCAACATTCTGATTGGATTTTTCCCTTCCGCTGGGGCTATATTGTAAACATCATCAAAGTAATGATCAAGAACTTCCTGTGCAACATCCACGGGCTGTAAACATGTATCAGTTACAACCTCTTGATTCTCTTCTCTATCTTCTCTCTGTATCATTTCCTCATCTACAGATTCAGTGGACTCATTCGATAACAAATCATTTTTATCACCATAGCCCTCCCATGTGGTATTGATCATAATGTCTTGGTACCATTTGTTCTTTTTCTTTAAATAATCAAGAGCCACCATTATGTGATTTGGATCAACAAACTGGTATTCAAATAGCCCTTGTAAGCTAGCCTACGTTTCAGCTTAACTCTTAATAATAAATTGTCATTCTCATTTCGGGGTAAACTTGTCGCCTTTTTCATATTTGATGGCACACAAACAACGGGTCCATGTACATTCTTTTGACCACCTTGTGGAAGAGCCATCACTTTCATAAATGGAATATGTAAGGCAATCAGGTGCTGTTCTAAACTGTTTAAATTCCTCAATTCACTTGGAATTTCTTCTAGCGACATCTTATTTGCTGCTGCCTCTGCCGGTATTTTGCCATTCAATATTTTTCTATGACAAGTAAAACATATCCACATTGATGACTGTGGGCAAGGCTTCGGGCATGTCAATGTACAATCATGAATATATTTCTTCTGTATGCATGTCTGTGCAATTTTATTTGCTTGTTGTCTTTCTACATACATTTCAAATGTACATCCTTGGACTTGATGTTCAAATAATAAACGATCACAACAGCAACAAGAGTACTCTGGGCCATTTTTTACGCTTTCTTTAAACATTTTCAAAACTTCATCTTCATCTGCCAGCTTCAATTTCAGTGCATATCTCTGATTCTGAACATTCTCTTTCTTCTTCTTTTTCTCATCAGCACTAAGATAATTTCTTTTACTAGCCATTTTTACCAAATGTCTATGTTCATCATCTCTTTGGTACTTCTCTATACTCCTTTGTTTAACATTCATTCTGTGCACGTCATCATTCTTGTACTTCTCTGTACTCCTTTGTTTAACATCTGTTCTGTGCACATCATCATTCCTGTATTTCTCTACACTCCTTTGTTTAACATCTGTTCTGTGCACATCATCATTCCTGTATTTCTCTACACTCCTTTGTTTAACATCTATTCTGTGCACATCATCATTCTTGTATTTCTCTACACTCCTTAGTTTAACATCTAATCTGTGCACATCATCATTCTTGTATTTCTCTACACTCCTTAGTTTAACAACTTCTCTGTGCTCTATATCTGAACTGTATTTCTCAATGCTTCTTTTCTTTTTGCTTTGTCTGTACACATTGTCTGTTATATATTTTCTTTTGCTGGATTCCTTGACTTTTAACTTGTGTTCTGCATCCAAAGAGTATTTCTTTTGTCCACACTCCTCTATATTTACTTTTGTTTCCTTGACTTTTAACTTGTGTAAAGTTCATTGTTTTACTTTTGTTTGGTAAAGTTCTATACCTATTTATTCCATCTGCAAGTGCCCTTAATCTAAATTTCAGGTCTGTTTTGTACTTAAGTTTTGCAGCTTTCGATTTCATTTCCCTGTTATTTGCATTCTTTTTTGGAGATAAATTGAAACGCTTGGCCCTCATGCGGTTTCGATTTCTAAGTTTTTTTCCGTACCAGTCCTTGCCAAGAAATTGAGATTTATCGGATGTTGCCATTAACCTTTCCATTTCTTTTCCAGCAACCCTAACCACTACATTATAATGATTCTGATTTTCATGATCTAAATAGATTGACCCTGTGGATTGAACATTTGTCGAAGGATCAATCAGTTGTCTTGAATATGTAACCCACTTTTTCTCTGTATATGTATGTACATCAGTTTGCAACAGATGACAGAGTGCAAGAATTTCTATTTCAGTTGTCCATGAACCAACGTTACACATATCTGTTACAGACAAGTGATTTTCTACAGAACATTCTGCACTTCTTACGAAAGGTTCAAACAATGTTCTATTGTGCATTAGATGCTGACATACTGCTAATCGTATTGGGTAATGATAATCCTCCACACCAGTCAAACAAAATGAAATAGCCCTAAAGAAACAATTTCCATCCCCTGTAATTTCAACACACTCGAGAGGTGCTCCTATTTCTTGCATATGGTGATTCTCTTCATCATAATCAATTCTATTTGAGTGTGGTATTCCCATAACCTGACATAGCTGTACTTTCATACTGTGAGAAAGTGGCAAATAACTAATATCATGACTTTCACTGCAAATATATTCAACATCATCATCTGCAACTGACTGAAGACTTGCAGTTAAAATGTTCGTGTTTTCTTGAAAGATTGATGTCGAGTCTGTATCTCGATGTGCAACTTCCTTTTGCTTAATTTCAACATCAAATTGATCAGTAGATACAAAGTGCCTAATTGAACAATCAACACCTGTTACTTCACATTCAGTGGTACCAGAAAAACCCATTGACAATGCTAATGATAATATGTGATTATAAATATCATCAACAGATTGATAAAGTATCCTTGTACTCTTTCCATTTAAACTCATATATCCTAATGACGATCTTGAGTGTGAATCAAATGTAAAGTAACCATCTTCTGTTTTCCCAACCAAAAACGTATTTCCTCTGAAGCATACAAAACATCCACTTGTTTCTCCTAGGGCAATTTGCAATGCACTTGAAAGGGAATATGCATTAAATTCATCTAAGTTTGGCTCTACATCTGACAAATTTATCAAGCTGCATAAAGGTTCATGAACTTTGAACTCAAATGGTGTATTGAAACATTCTAAAAACTGGGGCAACTCATCAACTAAAAGGTATCTACTAACAATAGTTGAACTACGCTGCAAATATGTATAAAGTTCATCACCTGTTGCTAACACTTTATTCATATCTGAAGTTGTCCATTGTTTCACATTCTTTAGTTTATGGTATGCCAATGCTGCCAAGGAGTTTGCTACACATTGTGTTCCTGCATTTTCACCAAACATTAAGTCACCTTGATGAAAAGAACCTTGAACAGAAACCTTGAACATTGTTACTGGTCCATCATCACTAATACATGCACATTCAACATCATCTTGTCCATCAGTACATGATTTCTCCATTCTACATTCTGATTTCTCCATTCTACATTCTGATTTCTCCATTCTACATTCTGATTTCTCCATTCTACATTCTGATTTCTCCATTCTACATTCTGATTTCTCAATTCTACATTCTGATTTATTGTTCCCATTTCTATTGTCTATATTCTCAATTTGTTCATATAAATTCGTTTCAGTTCTCTGTTTAAGACTCGTTTGAAAATCCGTTTGAAAATCCGTTTGAAAATCCATTGCATCATTTTGTATCCTGCTGGACTCATCCCCCTGAGAGGATGACATATCCAGCTGCGCCTGACCTGCTGAGCCAGACACGTGCACGGTGTCCGGCTCAGGTACCCTCGGTGAGGTACAAACCCACGGTGGGGAGTCAGGGGACGGTGCCATGCCTCCGTTTCGGGCACACAGACGACTTCCCTGAGAAGATGCGTTACTCAGGGCAGTTGGTTGCATTTTCTCACGAGGAGAGGCCTGCAACCTGGCCAAGGGTTTTTCCTCAAAAGGAGGCAACCCTATAGAGCCTTGACCCGGAAAATGACCGGGTGGAACTGACACAGTTCCGTCTACCATCCCGCAAGGAATGGCAGAGTCTGGTGGTGCATCATCAGTAGAAGCATCTGCTGAGGGGAGTGACTGCTCCTGCCTCTTCTTTCTCTTATACAATTTCTCTTTGAGTCTTTTTTCTCTACCACACAAGCTCTTTTTTCTCCGCATCTAAAAAATAAAGAATATAAATTCTACAGTGATCAATCTTGCATTGTATTCAAAAGCACATTTGTCCCAATCCAACAGTCGTTTCTTATCTCCATCACGAAAGAGTTCCACTAAGTTAAGAAATTGTGATATCTAATATTATCTTACATAGTTTATGTTTCAAAAAAATTATGCCAACTTTGATTCTAAGATTTCAATGAATTTTCCATTCCTTAAAATATTTGTTTATCCATCCCCTGTTGTGTAAGGATTAATTACAAGAAATATTGCATCATCGATAGATTTCTACACTGGTTCTGTTAGACCTTGTCAAATCCCTATCATATTAAACAATATCAAATTAGTCTTAACAACATAATTTATTCCTAATTAATTTTGAAATAAGACGCTGGCCATCAAATGACATATGCTCCCTAACCCCCATAAAATTAGTTTTAAAATTAATACAGACTTATTCAGTGTAATTAAAACAGGCTAGCCAACATGAGCTATTTATAATCAAAGAAGCTGACATTTGCACTATTCCCAAGAGATAACACGCTGTGTTTGTGAAACATTATGCGCCCGGTGGCAACAAAGTTACAAAAAAAATATTTTTAGCATAGAGGTCACAGTAAATGTCACAAGGTCATTGATATTAATGTTATTTGAAAGACCTTTAGTAGTGGTGTATGCATACCAAATATGAAGTCTGTATCTCCTATGGTCTAAAATTTATGGCAAAAGTTCGATAATAGCTATTTTTAGCATTAAGGTCACAGTCAATGTCACAAGGTCAATGACTTTGGTGTCATTTGTATAAGCTTTATTAGTGAAATATGCATACCAAATATGAAGTCTATATCTTCTATGCTTGGAAAGTTATCGCAAAAGTTTGAAAAAGCTGTTTTTAGCATGTAGGTCACTGTCAAGGTGACAAGGTCATTGAACTTGGTGTCCTTTGAAAGAACTTTATTATAACACCTGCTTGATCAGAGATGCTTTACCAGTTAGCTCCTCACACTGAAGTCATTAATTTCTCTTTAATTTGACATGCAGTTTTATGTTATAAAAATTTTTCTTGACAAGTGCTTGATAAATACACTCACGGGAGAAGTGGAATTTTTCTAACATACATTATATTTGTTATAGACTGCTGTCAAGTAGGGTATATGCTGAAAAAATTGAGTATTTCTTGATACAACACCTTTTTAATAAGAATAGTTCAGTACTCTTACATTTTTGGGAATGTGTAAAAGAATAGCAAAAAGACACTTTCCTTTTTTGATTTACTTAAATTAAAGGACACAGTGAACTAGGTTACCTTCTCTCTAAGATGCATAATATTAATTGGCCAAGTTTGACGATTGTAAGTCGAATAGTTTCTAGTCATGGGTCGGAAAGGATTTCTTCACATTTATCTATAACTTCTTAATTATGGGTCAGAGTGA